TTTTTTTTTTTTTTTTTTGACGCGATTGAATGTTTTCAGGCTAAAACGGGTGTGTGTGCATTGTGGCTTGATGGACCGGAAAAAACAGCTTAGAGTTTTGGAATTGGATCCGGATCTGCGTTTTGTGAGGGGACAAGCGTCGCAACAGTCAAGCGCCGCAGCAACCGCTGGATCTCCAGCTACGTCGCGCTCGAACAAATTGCTGATGGAAATGCAAGAACAGCAGGAATCGACCGCTCCCGCAACGCCGCTCACACATTTTCTGTACAGAGAGGAGGAGAAAGTGCCGATGTTCCTCGTCAAAATGTGGAATATCCTCGAGGACCCGAAATTTCAAAATATTATTCGATGGGACAAGGTTATTTCCTACGAGATTTTCTATACTTATTTGTTTCGGGCAGCACAGATGACGTTAAATAACTCTTTGTAGAGGGCATAGCTTTCTTTAGTTTTCATTATGAGCAGCGTTTGCTGAATGAAAGAGATGCTGCGCATCAGCAATTGGGCCTGAAAATCAAAATGTTTGAGGACGGAGATGATGTGAATTGCTGCTCATGGTCGTCGGATTGCCGCCGGCAGGCAGCACTGACTTGGAAGAAGTTGACAGTTATGTCTGTTCTAACTTGAATCTAAACTTTGCATCACAATACCCAGCCCAGGGGTTCAAACAGCAGGGACTACCAGTTAATGCAAATCACATACCATGGCCGATATTTTGGAAATGTCGGACAGAAAGAAACGTGCTCACCTCTTCAGCAGTTGTGAGCACTGTCATTGGGACTAAAATTTTTCGCGAAGTTGTAGCAGAGTTGCTTCATTCCCTTGTCCATTCATCACAGTCAATGTGACACGTTTTGCATCCTTACGTCATTGCCTTCAGTATGGTGGTTTGACAGATTTAAAACATGGCAGGTGACTGAAGGGAGAAGAGGGTTGGCAATGCATGAGCACACTTTTGGGTGTTGGATCCAAGACGCGGGGAGGGGGTTGTGATGGAGATGAAGGGAGAGGGCTGGTGTATGCGGGTTTCTCGCGCAAGGCTTGAAGTAGGGGTAGCGAGTTGCGTGGGTTGCGATGGAACATGGCGGCTAATTCCAGATTTATAGATCAAAAACTTCCACTAAATTACTGCGTAGTAGGTCAAGAATTGTTTTATCCGTGGACATATGTGTGCTCTAAAATTGGGATGCATTTCAGAGCGGCTATAGCTTCCATATTCTCGATCCACAGGCATTTTGTCGAGTGGTTTTGCCACAGTATTTCAAACACAATAACCTGAACAGTCTCGTACGTCAACTGAATATGTGTAAGAGATATTTTTTTGGCGCTTTTGCTGAATTGAGCTAGCAAATGTTCGTTTCAGGGAGTTACACATGATATTTGCGTCATTTGTGGCTGCCCCATGGAAGGCTAATTCAGAGCCCCTCTGTATTAACTTCTTATAAGAAGCCGAGACACTCAAAATTAGCCCGAGTGATAGCACACATAGAAATTTTCTCATATATGTTTTATATACATGTACACATGTAGGATAAATTGAAAGGGATAAATTGAAAGGGATAAATTAAAAGAGCAAGAAGGGGATAAATTTAAACCCGCGCTAGAACGCACCAGGCGAGCCAGTACGATCATGCACTTTTGCACTACTTCGTGCTGTAGCAGGATCGAGGAAGTTAGTTGTGCAGCTGTGTGGCACGTCAGTTGCAGATGTCGGCTTCAGTAAACAGACAGATGGAAACTTGCTGGTGAGCGAAAAAAACTGGACTGGAAGAATTGAAATTGAAATCTTTTACTCGCAAATGAGTAGGGAATATCCCCGTAAAACCTCAGTTTTCCAGCTTTTCTCGTTCCCAAGTTAGCATTTTCCCGCCAAAACTTTCACGTGTCCGTACGTGAATCCCGTCGGTTCTAAGCAGTTGAATTTGAAATCTTTCGGTCGTACATAGCTAGGGGAACATTGCCGTAAAGTTGCAGTTTCCTCGTTCCCGAGTTGGTAATTTTCCCGCCAAAATCTTCACGCGCCCGTACGTGATTCCTGGGCGGTTCTGAGCAGCTGAGTTTGAAATCTTTTGATCGCACATGAGTGTTGAGCATTCTCCTGAAGTCTGAACTTTCTAGCTTCCCCTGTTCCTGAATTAGCAATTTCCCTGCCAAAACCTTCACGTGTCCATACGTGGGGCATAGACGTGCATGGTAGTTGATATCACGTCCCCGGGGTCTCACTTAACCAGGGATACACTGGCAAAATCCCAGTCTCAAAGCTTGCATGGTTGGTGAATAAAAATACGCGGACAGACGAACATACACGCATAAACATACATACTCAGACAGGGTTTTCGCAATACGCGTTTCTGCTACCTGTTGCATCGCATTAGCGCTGCGTAGCAAAAACGCATAAAAACATTGAAAACTGGGGATGGGTGGGTAGAGGGCAAGGGGGAGAAGAAGGGAAAAGAGGGTGGACTGGCAGCAAGCACCTGTAAACAGCAGTTATTCGCTTGCGAACCTGATAGTGGCTTCTTTCAAGAGCTTCTTAAAAAGTGACGACGGTAGCAGTTTCGACTTATTAACACACATG